TTCAAACTTGTTATTGAATTTAGTTATGGCCGGTGACAGCGAATGTATGGAGAGTTTTCATTTTTTCTGACAACAAATCATCGATGGGGATATGTCCCGATTCAATTTATCGGGAAAGAAGGGTTTTATGGAGGCTACTACAAAGGTGTTGATGGTGGCGCTCTCCGATTGAGGTAAGCTTTGCTTTGTTGCTGAATCCTTTCCTGTAGCTAACAAGATTATTGTTGAATATCAATTGCTGTAAAGTTATAGGGATTAAGGTCTTTTCATCCCAATAAATTACCATGTAAATCGGCTATCAAACGTTTGAACGGTTTCAAGTTGAAAACGAAAACCTGTTGTTTACCGGTACTGACTTACACAAATCATCCCAGGCACATTTCTTTTTAAATACTAGTGTCGTTACATATGCTTCGGATGGCATTTTCGTATAATCCCATTCTTCTTACGTAAATAGTTCTTTGTTGCAAGGAAATTTTCTTTACAGATTTACAGTATCTACATCTTGTGAACTCTGCCCAAAAATTCTCAATTCTTTCTCAACGGCTGCACGTTAAAGCCCAGAGAAGTACACAGAAATTACTTTGAAACGCAGATGTAAAATGTCCTCAAGCACGAGTTTGGTTTAAACTTTTCACAGTCTGATGATTTCTGTCTTTTCATATTGTGGTAAAACATGGCTTATTGACACTAGCATATTTAAACCATTCGTATTCACTTCCAAGGTTAGCAACCGTCACGTCATTATATCCCAGAGATATAGCTGTTGAAATTTAGTGCCCGAATATTATTCCAACAAGGAAGTCGCTGGTTATTTGTTTGAAGGGTCAATTCTAATTTGCGTGTTTACGATGAATTTCAAAATAACCGCAACCGTAGTGTAAGGTAAATTACAAAGAAATACTAAAATTTATTCTCGAGGCATGAATAATTTCATTACATTATTATAATTATGTCGCAGAGATTTAGCTATTGAAATCTAGTGCCTGGGTGTCCTGCAATAAGGAAGTCGCTGGTCAAGTTATTTGTTTGAAAGGTCAGTTCTAATTTCCGCGTTTATGATGAGTTTAAAAATAACCGCAGCCGTATTGTTAGGCAAAGTAAAACAAAATACTGTATCGAAAATAAAAAGTAGGAAGGTTATCAGCGAAATACCACAAACATCAAAGTTTTGGTCTGAAAAAACCCTTTGTTTCTTTTACTTCTTCCTCTATCATCACACAAACCAACGGCAGCAGCTAACTTTCGACAAATTCTATTGTAGAATTTTAGTTCGCTAATTGGTCATTTTAGCCCATCGACTTCGTTTTCCGCGTGTGTGTTAAGTTCTAAACCACATTTGACGTCAACAATTTGGTTTGAACAATACATGTAGGTTTGGGTGAGTGTTTCTTGCGGTTCCGCGAGGTTATCACTTTATTTTGGCGAATGCGTTCAACTCTGACTGAGCCACGATACGGGAAAATAAAATGGGTATCTTCTGCACAGTGGAATAAAGGTAATAAACAAACAAACAAACGATGAAGAATATTTGTTTCAGGTTCGCATGTTTTAGAGCCTTTTTCTTTATCATACTCGTTAATAAAGCTGAGTGTCGGTGCTCTGATAGATCATCGGCAAAAAGCTTTTTGAAAACTGCACTGAGCGTGCAGTTTTCAAAAAGCTGTCAGCTAGACAAAAGACCTTCGAAGTCATTGTGAAAAGCGAGAGATCAAAAGTTGAAATCGTGGTACCACTGTTGATGATGATTGATTGAAAAAAGTCAATTTAATCATATTTGTGTAGAATTAGTAGTCTAGATATTAATTGCTTAGAAATTTTGGAGACCTTTTAAACTAATAGACTTATTTGTTTAAAAAAAAAAAAAATTAACGATATATGAATGCAAGTACAAGTAATGATAACTAACTAATATAGTTCATTCTTACCTTCAAGTCAGTTTGATTCTTCGCATCGGGTCTACCAGGCGGCTCAAACTTTTCTGGCTTAAAACTTCATATTTTATACCCCCAAACAGGAATTCTATCGGGTCATTGCTTCTTTTGAAGTGTGTGTTTTTTTTAATGCAATTAAAACAATTGTTCACTACAGACAATGGTCTTTCATCGATCGATTCATCACACTGGGAAAATACTTCGGTAATTTGTCTTTATTTTTGGAAAGGGCGGCTAGTCAAAAAGGTTGCAATTAAAAGAATTATGCGGGTTTAATTTTACTTTCATTGCCTAGAAGTTTCCAAAGATTACTTTAAAGATCTAATGCTAAAGTCCCAGAAGATGTTGACTTAAATGTAGTTTAGGCTCATTAAAAGTGCACTTGCTTCATTGTGAAGATGTGATTTAATAGTTGTTTGAGACGTGCGTGTCTTCCAACAAGGAAGTCGCAGTTGTTTTTCCTTCATCATCATTATTACATTATGCAAGTGAGCTAAAACGTCTTATACTAAATTCCGCATTCACGAGTTTAAAAATAAACACAACGGTATTGTAAGGCATGGGAAAAAAAAACACCAATGCTTAACTCTCAAGAGAAGTTGACAAATTGTGACAAATGCTTGCCGAGATCAGGTTTTTGCGAGAGGCAGTTTAAGTCTGGAAACCCTTTTTTTTTATTAAAAGCGTCAGCTATCGTTTTGAACAAATTCTGATAAAGAATTCACTAGTTGTTTGAGTTTAGGCATAGATGTGTTCCAACAAGGAAGTTCCTGTTTTTTAAAAGGTCAATATTATTTTCCGCGTTTTCGATATCAAAGATTTAAAGCAGTGGTAATGTTAGAAAACATGAACCAGATATGAATGGGCAGATTTCAAGAGAAAGTAAGACAAGGTCGAAGAAAAGAAATCAGAGAAATACTGGCAAATCCCGTTGCGACCAGCATTTTACAAAGTTACTGGTCTGAAAAACCATGTGTTTGTTTATTACTCAGGCTTTCCGAAGGAAACGCCCGAGGCATAAATTCGGTTCTTTTTTTTTTTCTTTTGCGTTCAGTCACGAAACGCAGTTCCACTACAATGCATGCGTGAAGTGTAAGCGCATGCGTAAAATGAACCATAGAGCGCATGGTTTGTTGGGGGTTTTACAGCTCGCTCGGACGAATTAACAAGAGGTGCCAAGACTCTACTTTTCTTCTTTTATTCTCTTCTGGAGAGCTACTA